GCAGCCAAATTGGCGCTATAGTGCCACAATGCTTTGGATCTACCACTGAAGTCGGCATTTTTCCACCTACATAGCTGTTGAAACGGTACCATCCCCAAGGAAGAGCTCTATCACACAGTGCTACTTGTCCTGGCTTCCACTTACTCTTAATACTTCTTCGTTGCTCGTTAATTTCAACGTAATTTCCCTTGTTACAGCATCCATTGCACTGAGCCTGATGGCATTGCCTGAAAGCCGTAAAGGTAAAAGCAAGCCCAAATACTAAATAAACCGTAAAATGTATTGTGCGGATTCAAACATCAACTGCTCGCGGTAGAATTTATCTTGAAAGCCGCCGCTCAGACGGCTTCCCCTTATAAGGAAATATAAAACAAGATACTTCTACTTAAATTCATTTCCTTCGGGACCAGGATTAAGCCTGCCATAAACAATAAACAGATACTCATCCAGTAAAATAACATTCTCTTCACATTCAATTTGACACCACCAGTTTTCATGACATCTTTTATATCCTTTCTTGTGTGTCATATTTCTGGAAGCATGAAGGGTAATCACCAGGAGACGGAGTCCACTGGGCCATGGGGGACTGAATTTAGTCTTGGGCATGCGCTATTGCGATAGAGCTATTACGAGGTTGAAGGTGACTAAGAAGATAATTACCGTCTGATATTTTCTCAGATGCGATGAAATACAACTTGTGTATGGTTACGAAGACCGTACTGTTTCGTCTGTGTGAAGTTGTTTATCAGAGAAATTCTATTCTGACTTGCTCTCTGTTGTAGTTCTATTTTCCATTTTCTTTGAGATAGATTGAGGAAAAAAAAAGAAAAAAAAAAGAAAAGACGCTCTGTTACTTGATACAGTTAAGTTCCTTCGCAACGGCATACTTTAAGTGCGATCCCATTTTAGATACTGACACCCAGGTAGCTTAGGCCAAGGACCAGATGGTTACCAACTATTTTGTAAATAAATACTTTCTTGAAGGAGGAACTGTAAAATAATTTCTATTTCCCGTTCACGTGTTACAACAGCAAAACCGTCAACATAAGATTCCAGAAAATGCTTGGCACGACTGCACGGAAAATTATAAGAAGTAAGACTGACCGCCGTTCAACCCTTATTAACCGCGCGGCCATGGGCCGAGCGCGGTTCATGGGTGGTTTATTATTTTTTTGTCGGAGACCAAACGCAGACCTCGACTTTGAATTACGCAATCTGTAATGTTTACTCGCCAAACCTTGTATCTTCAGGGTCAACAAAAATCTCAGATTACAAAGTCACGCCGAACTCACGCTTTGCAAAAAATCTCTTCAAAACCCTGACTTCGAAGCGATATATCACTTTAGCGTTAATAGCTACCTCATATCGGCAGTAGTAAAATCTATTCCTTAACAATCCAGCTTCATCATATTAACATTTCAACGAAATCGAACAAAACCAGAACTAAATATCAATAGATTTTTTTTGTAACCTCGCTTCATTGCTTGAGTCGATAGCCACCGAAACACATTAACATAACACGAACCTACGTTTCGGTCAAAAAAATCCAGGATTATTGCCTGAGAGCTGAAAATTGAAGAGGAACATCTTTTTCGAGCTTTTTCTCAGGTTATTTAGACTAAAAAATAACCTCGGCGGGCTCCAAAAGAGAACGAAACAAAAAACAGAACGAGACAGTGAGAAGAGCCGCTAATTTATTCACCGCGTGGCCTTCGTTACGTTCAAGTTAAAAAAAACCCTTACTTCTGGATAATTTCAGCCTTACAAGCCAGTAACTGGTCCCAAATTACTTTCTGTATCCTTACAAATGTCCTGACCTCCATCTCCGAAAGATTTGCCCGCAATGTTTTTTAGCAAATAAACATTTCGCCGACAGCAATCACCACTACGGTGGCTTGCATACTAATTCGCTAACTTTACAAAAGCCTCCCGAGGGGGGATATGACGAAAAGAGCTGAAAAATGATGGCCGGGAAACAGAGTAATTTTCTCAGCTTCCGGTGTGACAAAATTGCTGGAAATAGGTTTCTTTTTTTTGTCGTTTTTTTTCTTCGAGTCACTCATGCTACCAAAACAGTTAACATTTAAAAGCGCGGTTGTAAGATCTTAAAGATCTACTTGTTTAAGTATGAGTTGTAGCAACGACGTGATAACAAGAGAAACCATCCATTAGTTTAAATCTTCAATAATCATCAGAGGCCATTCTGTACGTCAGAAACGTTTTGCGTATTAAATTTTATGTCTGCGAACTGTTTTCTGTAATTAGCTAACTATACATCTAGGGGTGGATACATGAACATGGTTTTGCAACGAATATTGCTTTTTGTTTCCTCTATTTCCACATTCATAATTGCCACCTAGTGTTTCTGTTGCATTGTTAAAAAGCACTTAGAGGTTCTAGACACCATGGCATTATCAAAGACCCACAAATTCCGACTGAAAAAATAAGCCCTTTTATTAGAATGAAGGTGATTTCATAATGCCATGGCGTCTAACTCAC